TCAATTCATGGGCACTTGCAATACCCCTTGAATCGAAATATTCTCTTTGGATTGGGGCGGCCTAGCTTCGAAAGGCCTGCCGGCCTTTTCCCACCTCCTACCTTTATGGATACTTAGTGTGTCTTCCGATCGGGGGTGGTTGTCTTTCGCCACAAGTCTGAGACGGGAATAGCTGGTGCGTATGAAGCCTGCATGGGACTGGTGAGCAGTTCCTTAACTTCCTCAGCGCGACGTGAATGTGGATGGCACCGAATGAAAAGCTGAATCATACCTGCCATCCACGACGACAAGCCCTGCCCTGAAATCGCCCGCGATGGGAATGTAAGAAATTCATCAGCTTGCCCGCAAAAACCTCACAGGCCGCATTTTAGTGTGGGCTTCACCAATCAGCCATCTCAGCCATCTCAAGGTTGCTCCTAGATAGCCAAGTTGCTGGTTGTTTTTTCAGTCACACGGCCACGGGCGATCCAGGCTGTTGTCCTTGATTTCTCAAGCCTCCGAAAAGGTGTAGCCTTCCAACTAACCTGGCACCTATGGGGAGGTACCTGGATTCATTTCCTTTCGAAGGGAGGGAGGGTACCTGTCAGTTGCCATGTTAGTTGGAGGGTAACTCTCCTTTCCAAGTCCATCGGCCAGGCTGGGGAGCGGGGAAGCTTCAGCGAGGAGCGCCACGAGTTTGTGCTCCCCCCGCTGCCGCAGGCAGAGACCGGGGCCCTGAAACTGGGGCCTATGTGTCGGGTATCACTGCGTCATTCGTGTTGCCAGCTCTGGGGGTTATCAAGTCAGAAACTGCGGTGGTTTGCCTTTAGCCTATGTGAGTAACTTTGATGACAGAAGAATGGGGCTATCAAGTAAGCATGGCATCCATTTGGCTCACAAACTAAGGGTCCGTTCGGGGCAACCTGGACGCTAGTGAGTCTGCCAATGTCAATCGTACATGTCGGGCTCAGATCCCAAGTCTGCGCCTGACGCAACGCCAGGGACTCTCAGTGAACTACCCTCGCTCCGAGGGCATGAAGTATCAGGTGGAGGCGGCTGAGATGCTCGGCCGCGGCGAAAGCCAATGCCAAAAGGAGGTTTCTCTCAATACGATTGTTTTGGGGGCTTCAATGTGAAGTTGCAGGAGTGGAGCGCACCATATATGTACTCAAGGGGATGACTTGGGGCGCACTCGCCAAATTGCACTGAGAGCACAGGGTTACTCACCAAATCTCAGGGGCGCAATGAGTATCTCAGACGCAAGGGAGGAGTTGCACTTCAGTTTTCCCTGAGTGAATTGATTAGTAAGATCATTGAGCCAGCAAACTATCAGGTGTCCCTTTGTTTCCCTCGTGGGCCACTTAGAACCTTGCCACCGGGCAATCCTTTGAGTTGGCTTTCTGCGGTGTGACCTGTAGAGGAGAGGTATAATAAATTATGTTCAATCTGTGACGTGTGACGTGTGACGTGTGACGTGTGACGTGTGACGTGTGACGTGTGACGTGTGACGTTTGTGTTTGTGTTTGTGTTTGTGTTTGTGTTTGTGTTTGTGTTTGTGTTTGTTTGTGTTTGTGTGTGTGTGTGTGTGGTTGTGTGGTGTGTGTGTGTGTGTGGTTGTGTGGTGTGTGTGTGTGTGTGGTGTGTGTGTGTGGTGTGTGTGTGTGTGGTGTGTGTGTGTGTGGTGTGTGTGTGTGGTGTGTGTGTGTGTGGTGTGTGTGTGTGTGGTGTGTGTGTGTGGTGTGTGTGTGTGTGTGGTGTGTGTGTGTGGTGTGTGTGTGTGTGGTGTGTGTGTGGTGTGTGTGTGTGTGTGGTGTGGTGTGGTGTGGTGTGGTGTGGTCTGGTCTGGTCTGGTGTGGTGTGGTGTGGTGTGGTTTGGTGTGGTGTGGTGTGGTGTGGTGTGGTGTGGTGTGGTGTGGTGTGGTGTGGTGTGGTGTGGTGTGGTGTGTGTGTGTGTGTGGGAGAACCAAGCTGAATTGGCACTGACTGCTTTCCTCCCGCAAGGAAAAGATATGGAGTCTTTGCACATAGAGAAGTGCTTCAACAGAAGGGTGTTCTCCAGGCGGAATGCTGGCCAAATTCTGTACACACGGGGCGAGGCCTGAGCCTGTAGCTGTAAACGAAGATGCCGCCTGAGGCCAACACACTAGAGATCAATCAAGAATTTGAAGCCACTGCGGGACCTCCTCTTGGGCCATAGCCTGTGCAGAATGAGCTGCTGATTGTAGCCTCGCAGAGGAGTTTTGGTATTTAGCAGAATGTTTGGGGCAACCTTTTCGAAGCAGCAGACACGCTCTTCTTTTGCTGGCGCATTGCACAGGTGGCCAATCCGTTCGTGCTGGCAACGTAGGGATGCCATTGCTTGTGAGGAAGTGCATACGGGAGGGCAAGCTGGAATGCGCCGAGTACACCTTGGATGAAAGCCTCATCGTCATGCAGATCATGGATTCCTTTCGCCAGCAGGCCTTGGGGGGGGAACCGCTATGCAGCTGCAGCGCTGAGGGTTTGGCTTGGAACCTCCAATGATTCTACATCTTGAAAGATAAAGGTTCGCTGAATATATTCAAGCATATATCATGTATGGTTGTCAACAACAGCTGCGTAGTTGAGAGGCCGGCCTTCCATCATGATGTCGTAGTTTGTTGGCGCTGCATGCCCTCTCCTGGTTGCAAGTCAGCCAACTGCAAGTGGTGGCAGGGTTTGGAAAGGTCCTGGTGCCTGCACAGTCTCTTTCGGCCAACCGCCGCGTTTGGTTTTTGGCCCTGCCAGGTGGGCGTCACCTACCCCTTCGAAGGTTCATACTGTGCTATAAGCTGAGCTTCAGCCCTTCCGAGCCTCCAAAGGGGCTGGACAGCATGAGCGGACTGCCAATCGTCTTTTTGCAGATGGCTGTGGCTCAAAAACCTGTACTAAAATGGCACCTTGGACTTCTTAAATGTTGAGTCACACCCAAATAACCTTTGCTCGTTCCGTGCGATGTCACCATGTCATCTCCTAAATTTTCAGCCACCAACGAGCTTTCAAAGTTGCTGCTGGGCAAGCAAGAGCAGTCCTCCCTCGCTGCAGCTCGCAGCTGAAAGCGAAGCTGGGGGGTCCTGTTTTGTTTGCCGAACCTCGGATCGAGAGGCCTACCATGGTTGTACAGAGGCCGCATCGTGATGCAACTCCCTGGCAGCTGCGTGGAATGCCACGTTGATCAGCGTGCTCACTTGGAGCACTGCGAGAGACCAGGTGAAGCAGCGGCCAGAACGGAGGCGCGTTTTGCGCTGATGCGGAGCTGTTAAAAGAGAAGCCGTGGGAACAGTGACCGCCGAGCCCATGTTCAAGCGCACGCGGGAGCTTGCTCGAATAGCGCGCAAAAGGCTGTAAGGATGTAATATGGCTCCTCCACGCTGTCAGGACTTGATGGTCATTGCCAGTAGGAATTAAGGCGCGCACCAGAGATTCAAGTGACTTTGTAAAGTGGCGTGGAGGGGCCGAACCCACTCTGAAAAAATGACACCCTGCACGGGGATAGGACATGTGCTAGATTTTAAGACACCCGCCCGAGCCTCTGTGGCGTGGTCGACCTGCAAAAGCTGCGGACTTCTGCTACTTTTTGAGGGCCGAGCGCGACCAAAAACTGAGAACTTTGAGCGCTTTCGCTGCGTTTGAGGCTTCCACAGACACCGAAGCATTCTCAGAGAAGGACACACATAGACACGTGCACACTTGCGCAGAGCAACCTGCACAGAGTAACTCGCACAGAAGAGCAGCTTGCGCAAGGCATTGGCGCAGAGCAACCTGCGCAGAGCAACTTGCACAGAGCACTTGCGCAGAGAAACTTGCGCTGAGCACTTGCGCAGAGCAACTTGCACAGAGCAATTTGCGCAGAGCACTCGCACAGAGCAACTTTCGCAGAAAACAACTTGAGCAGAGCATCTGCGCAGAGCAACTTGAACAGAGGGCTTGCGCAGAGCAACTTGCACCGAGCTCCACTTGCGAGGTCAACTTTCAATGAGCACTTCCACAGAGCACTTTGGGCAATGCACACACGCGCGCACAAACTCGCGCGAGAGCGCTCCTGCGCAATAAAACTTGCGCGAGAGAGATTAATAAGTTAACAATTCGGTCGCTCTACAGTGCCCATGCCGGACTCGATAGCGCGCGCGCGAAAGCAAAGACAAAGCGGACTCCACGCGTTTTCAAGGGTCAGATTTTTGTTTTGACACCCCGTGCTCCCGCCGCAACGCGCGCCTTGCTCGCTTGCGGGAGCTCAGCTGTTCTCAACTGGCTGGGCAGAGATCAGCTCTTCGGTCTTCGTAAGACGCGTACTTGGGTCCCGATTTTTTTGCGTTTCTTAGTGAGGGCTCTCAACATAACTTTTTGAGGCACTTTGCTCGGACCCGGCGCAGGATAGGCGTGTGTAGCAACCGAAAGGAACCCATTATTAGAGCCATGGGCATGTGATTGCTAACAGAAACGGCTCAGAGAACCGAAGCAGATCATGGTCTTGCGTTGCGCTTTGGGGCATGCAGCAATGCTTGCGGGCCACCCGTTTTCTAGTCGTATTCCTCTCATTGTGTTTGCTTGGTTGGCATTTTCCTTTGAACCCCTCGACGAGGTTACGTTGCATCTCCAAGTAAACCAGATGTGGGGAAGCGCCGGGCCGTTTCGAGTTTCAGCCGCAGGTCACCCTTCTAGCCCCTTCGCGCCCCAGCCCTTTGGCAACGCCAGGATTGGGTGTGCCTGATGGAGCGTTCTTGGCCCTGGCGTGGCGCCGAAAAGAGCGAGCCGCCAGTTCCACAGACTCGGTCAGTCAAAAGCCCGCCGACCCCGCGAAGCTGCCAGAGCTGGGGTTCCTTTGGAAGATTTCGCCAACACCCAAAAAAGATGAGGATTTGAGCGCATGCTCCATAGATGTTTCCTCTCCAGTCTCTTAGAACTAAACTCTGGCTTTCCTCCAGCTCTGGCAACGCAAAGAATGGCCGCGGTCATGGGCAGGCCCGGGCAAGGTCTGCCGGGGTTCTTGGCCCCGTGCGCAGGTGTGATGGAAGAGGATTCCCGCGAGGCGGGCCATTTGAGTGTGCCTCTTGTTGTTGGTTCTCCACTAAACATGAACAATCCAACAAGGTGTTCGCTTTTCTCAATTGAAGCCGCTGCGATTTGTTGTTCCTGTTGTTGCACGGAACCCGCCCAACACATTCTCTGAAATTGCCGTCACGGGCTTGTTAGATGTGCGCTTGCCAATTGTTTGAGCTGAGCAACCCAGTTGCCATGTTTAGCCCGGCCAGGTGCTGACCAAGCTTGGGCAGCGCCTAGGCAAGGTTGCCAAAGCCATCTTGTTGGCGCTGGATGTCTGGTTTGGTTGCCGACCCCAGGCTTTTTGACAGTCAGGCGCTGTGCGCTGCAATCGTGGTTGAGTGTTCAGCGGCTGGTCACTAGGTTGCAATCCTTTGCTCAACCCGCCGGAATAAGCCATGCACCCTTGTTTAGGGCCGCGTGGGATTATTTCGTGAAGCTTTTGCGATTTGAAGCAGGTTGCTTTGTTTGCAATCACAACTAGCTGTGCTAGAGGCAAGGATGCTTCTGGGACAAACGTTCCCCCTCGATATCAAACAGTGTTTTGTCGTTTGACCAGTGATAGACCAGCATTCGGTTTCCCGCAATCCGCAACACCCACAGCTGAACTACGCAGCAACCAGTTTGACAATGCCATAGTTCTGGCTGAAACTCAAAATGCAGAGCCTACAGCAATCAGGGGTTCGCTGCTTATACCATACCAACCGGGGCCGGCATAGAAAATGGAGCGCAAAAAAGGGTGCTTCGTGCATTGCACGCAATGGTTTCAGCTTTCTGTGTAGGAATCCACGGCAAGTCTTCAATGTCGATTTTCGACACGGTGATGGTCAGATGATGTAGTGGTAATTGTTGGAAGAAAGTCTATATCAAGTGTGTCAGAAAAAAAAGGACAGTCAGTCCCGCGCTTCAACGAAGCTTTGGACTTCGTGTTTTGTCGCGGCCAGGCTTGGAGGCCGAGGATGCTGAGAAGATCTTCTATGGCGTCATTGAGGAGCCAAGACGTTTCCACGTTCAGCGGCGTGAGACGACGCCATCTATGGCCAAGCTAATTCGATTGCCCGGAGGCTAACTGGTCAGCTACCTGGAAGTCGAATTTGTTTCAACCGGGCGTCCCAAAAGGACGATTACACCAGAAGCAATGTGTGTGTGTGTGCGTTTGTGTGTCTGTGTGTGTCTCTGTGTTTGTGTGTCTCTGTGTGTCTGTGTGTCTCTGTGTGTCTGTGTGTGTCTGTGTGCGTCTGTGTGTCTGTGTGTCTCTGTGTTTGTGTGTCTCTGTGTGTCTGTGTGTCTCTGTGTGTCTGTGTGTGTCTCTGTGCTGCGTGTGTCTCTGTGCCTGTGTGCCTGTGTGCCTGTGTGCCTGTGTGTCTGTGTGTCTGTGTGTCTGTGTGTCTGTGTGTCTGTGTGTCTGTGTGTCTGTGTGTCTGTGTGTCTGTGTGTGTCTCTGTGCTGTGTGTGTCTCTGTGCCTGTGTGCCTGCGTGTCTGTGTGTCTGTGTGTTTGTGTGTCTGTGCGTCTCTGTGTCTATGTGTCAATATGTGTCTCTATGTCTGTGTGTGTGTGTCTCTGTGTGTCTGTCTCTGTGTGTCTGTGTGTCTGTGTGTCTGTGTGTCTCTGTGTCTCTGTGTCTCTGTGTCTCTGTGTCTCTGTGTCTCTGTGTGTCTGTGTGTGTCTGTGTGTGTCTGTGTGTCTCTGTGTCTCTGCGTCTGTCTCTGTGTCTCTGTGTCTCTGTGTCTGTGTGTCAATGTGTGTCTCTATGTCTGTGTGTGTGTGTCTCTGTGTGTCTGTCTCTGTGTGTCTGTGTGTCTGTGTGTCTGTGTGTCTCTGTGTCTCTGTGTCTCTGTGTCTCTGTGTCTCTGTGTCTCTGTGTGTCTGTGTGTGTCTGTGTGTGTCTGTGTGTCTCTGTGTCTCTGCGTCTGTCTCTGTGTCTCTGTGTCTGTGTGTCTGTGTGTCAATGTGTGTGTCTCTATGCCTGCTGCAGTGGCTCATTAGGTCGAATGATATTCCAAGCTGCTTCATGACACTCTAAGGGCCCCCGGATGGCAACCCCTTTACGCCCTCGCACCCATCCGCAATGACTATCCAGCCGTTGGATGAGTATGGAAAGATCCGCTGCCGTTCTGTCTCGCACCCAGATGAGTGCCTTGTCTTGCACCGGTCTCCCATCACTTCCGATGGCTGTGATGGATACTGAGGAGGCGCCCGACTGCCTCATGTAGGCAGTCGGAATCTGCTCTCGAGCTACCTGAGCATAGAACCGCACAGAGGTGGCTTGGGCCGGACTTGTGGGTTTGCCCATTATTTTGGTAGCTGCGCCCCCAGAGATGGCTTGTTGCCTTTCTGTGCTCCAAACCTGGCTGGTCAGGATGGCGCTCCAAGCCTGCGGCTCATAGTCCTCATCCGCCGTGGCTTGCTTGTGACTCAGCAATGCTACCTTCACATCCTCCTGTCCTACCATTTGGACTCGCAACACGACTCGGTTGCCTTGCGCATCCTTGGGCACGTGATCATGGTCATGCCATAACTTGGAAAATCCTCCGGTTTCAATGGCTGCAGAAGCAAGACGGCCAGTTCATCTTTGGGATGATGCCCTGCCTGCAACCATGGCGCGATCTCTGCTTGGTTTGCCAGCACGACCCCTGTGGATTTGAGTGTGATTTCCTGCAAAATTGATGGCTGCGTGTCATCCTGATTTGTGAAGAAGCTCGCATCTAGAGTGTAGTGCTTGGGGTCACACGGCAGCTGCTGAGGTTGGCGCTTGGGACCTGTTGATGCCTTTAGGTCTACTTTCTTGGACACGGCAATATCAAGCTTCTCGGTTAGGGCATGTAGGGCCTGCACGACATCCGGCCGCTCTGCAATTTGCAAGATGCGCTCAATTTTTTTGTGGATCTGCTTTTTTGCTGAGCTGCTCAACGATGTCGCTAATGCGCTTCACCATGCATCCACTGTCGAGGAGGAGCTGCGCCTTGAGAGGCCCTGAGATCTGCTTTCTCTGCACTCCGCCTGCTAGGCCCCTTCGATGGCACCGAAGGACACCGCCCCTGTAGGCGGTTGCGAGCCTGCTTGGGTCGACCCATTGCCCATTGCATCTCACCTCTCTTAATTCTTTTGTCTGCTGTTGCACGAATGCACTCACCAGAGATGCCACACTGCATGTGTCAGGCACACGGAGATATTGCGTGGCCCCTGCCCAAGCAATGGCACACTCTATTTGATGCGTCAACTTGCCGTTCCTCTGAATGGGCACCTGTCAGGTCTGGCGATGAGATTGCAGGTGGGACAATGTGCGATATCACATCTTGCACGAGGTTGGGGCCAAGGCAAAACCCAAAATGCAGGGGTTGCACACACAATGACGGCTGTGCGGTGTCACCTAGGCATTTGATGGCAAGTTCCCACTTGAGCACGGACTGGGTTCCTGTGCTGAGCAACAGGGCAAAATCTGAAGGAAGGTCCTCAATCGTTCCTTGTGCCCTGAATGTGCCTTGGTTCCGCTGGAGTTGGGTCCTGCACTTGGCTTGACTGCGCTCCATGTGCCTAGACTTTTGGAAAATTCCGATTCGCACTCCACCGGCATTAGCACAAAGGATGCGCACATTGCTCCATGTTGCCTCCGGTGCGAACCCTTGCAGCTGTTCCTGAGTGAGGGAGCAAGGGTGCCTGGCCACTGATACACCGAGGCCAAGAGGCACTCAAAGGCAGGGTCCTCACACACTGTCTGGTAAGGCACGTCAAATGTGGCGGCAGTATGGATCTGCTCATGGGCTGTGTCTGTGTGTGTGTGTCTGTGTGTGTCTGTGTGTGTGTGTCTCTGCGTGTCTGTTGTGTGTGTGTGTGTGTCTGTGTGTCTGTGTGTCTGTGAGCCTGTGTGTGTCTGTGTGTGTCTGCGTGTGTCTCTGTGTCTCTGTGTCTGTGTGTCTGTGTGTCTGTGTGTCCGTGTGTCTCTGTGTCTCTGTGTCTCTGTGTCTCTGTGTCTCTGTGTGTCTGTGTGTCTGTGTTTCTGTGTCTGTGTGTCTGTGTGTGAGTGAGTGTGTCTGTGTGTCTCTGTGTCTGTGTATGTCTGCGTGTGTCTCTGTGTGTCTGTCTCTGTGTGTCTGTGTGTGTGTGTCTCTGCGTGTCTGTTGTCTCTGTGTGTCTGTGTGTGCCTGTGTGTCTGTGTGTGTTTGTGTGTCTGTGTGTGCCTGTGTGTCTGTGTGTGTTTGTGTGTCTGTGTGTGCCTGTGTGTCTGTGTGTGTTTGTGTGTCTGTGTGTGCCTGTGTGTCTGTGTGTGCCTGTGTGTCTGTGTGTGCCTGTGTGTCTGTGTGTGTTTGTGTGTCTGTGTGTGCCTGTGTGTCTGTGTGTGTTTGTGTGTCTGTGTGCCTGTGTGTGTGTGTGTGTCTGTGTGTGCCTGTGTTTGTGTGTGTTTGTGTGTGTGTGTGCCTGTGTGTCTGTGTGTGCCTGTGTGTCTGTGTGTGCCTGTGTGTGTGTGTCTTTGTGTGTCTGTGTGTGCCTGTGTGTCTGTGTGTGTTTGTGTGTCTGTGTGTGCCTGTGTGTCTGTGTGTGTTTGTGTGTCTGTGTGTGCTTGTGTGTCTGTGTGTCTTTGTGTGTCTGTGTGTGCCTGTGTGTTTGTGTGTGTTTGTGTGTCTGTGTGTGCTGTGTGTCTGTGTGTGCCTGTGTGTGTTTGTGTGTCTGTGTGTGCCTGTGTGTCTGTGTGTCTGTGTTTGTGTGTCTGTGTGTGCCTGTGTGTCTGTGTGTCTTTGTGTGTCTGTGTGTGCCTGTGTGTTTGTGTGTGTTTGTGTGTCTGTGTGTGCCTGTGTGTCTGTGTGTGTTTGTGTGTCTGTGTGTGCCTGTGTGTCTGTGTGTCTTTGTGTGTCTGTGTGTGCCTGTGTGTCTGTGTGTGTGTGTGTTGATCGCATTGAGAAAGCACAGCCCGCTGCCTTGCGATGAACATTCACCAAGCCAGCCAACCGACGAAGCGACCGACCGAGGAGCGGCTGAAAGGCATGATGATCCCGGTTCGGGATGCCTGGGAAGAGGCCACCTACACCAAGGAGGCGCCAGCGCATCGCAAAGATTTGTCAGCTCTGGGAGTGAAGGAGTTCCCGTGGGGATGTTCTTCTTTCCGGATTGTGAATTGCAATAAAGTTTCCCAGACATATGGAAGTTGACAAGAACGTTCCTCTAAATATATAACCCTTTGTACATCATGGTTGAAATTGGGCCTGGGGTAAGACTTCTGCGATGGGCCTGGGAAATAAATTCTACGGCGGCCTTTCGGAGTTTCTTGGCACTGCTCTTTGAAATAATGACCATGAAAGATCCAAGTCTTGGTGTTGATCGTTGTGCTCGAGAAGTACAAAGCGTAGAGCGGCAATCAAGTCGGATTCTGATTATCACATGAATGGGGGTATTCTGGATTGCGACAAGGTATGACGAACTGCAATTGTTCAGATGCAATGGTATTGCTTGGTATTTCACATTCTGTGCTTCCGTTTGCACGATGGGAATGCGACACGGATTTCTTCAGATTCCAATTGTTTCAGGTGGTTGATGTTGGTGCTTGGTTGAAGATGGCGATGGAATTATTCCCCACATGTTTTGCCTTGGAAAATTGCTGAGGGACTCATTCACTTTCCTACATGCTGTCAATGGACTGTCCCATCAGATGTGGGGTTATTTTTCCTACATTGACACAAGAAGTGGATATTCCGACCCTCTTGCGAGCTAGGCTTGGATGGGCCTATGTCTGTACGGTGGCACCTTGCGAAAATACCCAAATCAGCTGCGTTGAGCCAGCAGTTTCCCGGAGCTACCTGTATAATGTGATCCGAGGGCGATGGAGCACGTTGCTTCGCACTTGAAGCTCGTAACGCTCACTCAACGTTCTCCTCACCCCGGTTCTGAGCAATGTGTCTGCCCTTTGCCAGTGTTGCCCTCTTGGGAGCTTCGGGCAGCGAGCAATCCGCAGGCGCTGCTGCAGCTGAACAAAGAGCGGGGCAAGGTGGGCCCCGGATACCATCGGGGGTCATGGGTGTTTTCTTAAAAGGGGTGGGTTTCCTGTTGATTTCCCGTGAAACACCACACCACTCCCCAGGAGCTTGCCTCAGTTTGTTTGGAGGCCGGGAGAGTGGGGAAAGGGGTAAGTGATATCTTCGGAGCCAGACGGGTGAGCAATAAGCATGTTGGCAAAGCCAGGTTGGCTCACATGCAAAAGCGACTATAAAAAATGGGTCCCCAGCATCCAGCAGTACTCATGCCCTGGAACCGGAACCCCGGAACCACGAAACCCTTCTAGAACTCGCGGGGCTGCTTCAAACCCACTATTGTCCAAGACCCCAAGTGTCTCTGTTGGGAAAAGACAACAGCGAAGGGCCGTGTGTCCCACAATATTATTGGGGATCAACGAAGGAAATCCTCCAGCACTTGTCGTTCCCCAGTGCCATGCTCGTCGATCGGTACGCTTCTTTGGGTTGATAGCGATGGTCATCAATCTTTACGAGTTACAACCAGCTCAGCTCTAACAAGCTCACCCAGATCACTATGAAGGTCAAGTACTGAGTGTTTTTCCCGTTCCGGTTGAATGTAGGGTCGATTTGCGCAGACCAGCCGCCCCGCAACGGACATGAGATTTCGGTCATCCCGAAAGCCAAACTTGACATTGGATTCCTCCCCGGCATTTCTATGTTGCTCTTCCCAGTCAGCTACCCACTGTGAGGGTTGTGGTAGTTCAGTGTGAGAATGCTGGGAGATGTTGCTTTCACCAGGGACACCTTTTGCCTGATTGGAAGGCCTGAGACAACTGACCATGTTTGGGGTTCCCGCATTTGGATTAGGAGACACCCGTCCCACCAGCTGGGTGGAGTTCTGAGCTTCTGGGGACTGAACGAGGCCCTTAAGTCGAGGAGAAACGAGAGGTCATGCCCTTAAGCGGAAGCCGCAGTGAAGCAAGGAACCAGCCAAGCAACTATTGCGCTGCTCGTTGAAACAACTTCATGAACTCATGGTGGCAGCGCCTTCTTCGCAGGGCCTGAGGCGGTCGCCGCTTTGACACGTCTGCGTCCCCGGGAAAGGTGCCCAACCGCTTCGCCAGGACCTTGGGGACGATCCCACAGCAGACGGCACCGGAGGTGAGCTGGGCATCAAGGAGAGACGTTCAGCGCGGTGTCCAACAAGATGAGAATGAGTTCGTTGGTGAAAGCAGAGTGATGAGAGTGCACGTTGATTTCTATACGTTTATCAAAGCTTGGCGCTTGATATTGCTGAGAATTGCAGCTTGATATTGCAAGGTAAACCAAGCACAGGGGACCCAGGCATGCATAAGTGCTGCACGTTGCTGCATGCTGTATCTCGTGGTTGATCGACCTGCAAGACTTGAGAAACCAACTCGCCATTCTTGATGCACTTCTTGGGCAAATAGAGGGGGGCGACATTGATGGGGTGATGTTGACTCCTGGTTCGCCATTTTTGGGCCGTTTGGAAATACCCTGAGTTCTTGATGCACGTGAAACAATCAGATACCCATCCAAATGGCTTCTTCCTGTTAGTTTCCATGTGTAAGAATGACACCCAACGGGGCCACATGCCCATTTTCAAGAGTGTGGGAAGTTCGAACTCCGCAGGCAATGCGGGGGGGGGGGAGGGGCATTTGTAGCCTGAGCAAAAGCTAACTACCGGCCTCTGGCAGGCTGGTTGCCTCTTTGGCTTCATGTCACCACGACATTAAAGGGACAAGGGGTCCCCTAGTCTTGACAAGTTTGAGACATTGCCACCTAGTACCAATTCTCGCAGCAAGTCATACTGCAGGCGGTTTCGCTCATTGCGAGGTCAGCTGTTGGTAGTTGTTGGTTCCTGCTTTTTAGAAATATGAAACAAAATATTTAAAACAATATAGATATTGGAATATATAGATCAGAGGCTCGCCAGGACTACTGGGCACACTGATGATGCGTGGCTCACCGTCAACCACGGGTGAACATAAAACCCAACAGGCAACTTGGACAACCATTTGTAGAGGAGTGTTTTGGGGGAATCTATAAAGATGGGGGATTCCCCACATGTACCTTCATGAGGGTGTCTTGTGGGGTGAAGCCTCGTTTGTTGATGACCCATGTCCATCGGATCTTGCAGGAAGCAGAGTTCAACATCAAGCGCGGTGTAGTGTTTCATTCTGTGCCCACCGACTCCTCTAGAGTGCCCTTTGGTATCCTGCACTCGCCCACTTTCTGTCACTTCAATGGAGAGTGGAGGTTCGGCTTCCCTTTGCCTCTCCGGTGCACCTCACAGGACACGCCTCCAGTGGATGGCGTCCGTGGCTTTAAGCTCATGGAGGAGCGGGCTCCGCGGCCACGAGACCATGGCCGTGGCTCAACATGGAAGCCCATGGCGCCTTGGTAAATGGAACCAAACACTACAGCCTGGGTAACCCCGGCTCTTGATTTTTTTGAGCCACACCCACGTGGGATCGGCGTTTAAAGTACCTGTTTCCGCTCTTTCGAGAAGGCAAGCAAAGAAATGTGCTTTTCATCGGCTCGGCCAGAGAAGCAAGCAGCGCAGGAGCTGTCAAAGGTTGCAGACTTCTACACGCAGAACAAGGCCAGGTCATGACACTGGGCAGGCTCCAAGCATGTCTTGTAGTTCAGGAGTTGCTCGGTTTGGCGTGTCAAGTGACTTGGAACATGATGAAGGCTCCATTCCCGCTTCGGGTTGGTAAATGATTGTAATCCAGCCAGATTTGCAGAAAGCAGGGCACCATGCCGCGAACCTGAGGTGTTGAAGGAGGATGTGTCGGAGAAAGTCGACGAGGACGATGACGAAGCTTGGAAAGAAGCGTGCGCCACTGTCCTACATATAGAGAGACTCCGAATCCTGGGCCGCGAAGCACATGCCTCTGAAGCAAAAACCCAAAGACCAAACATGGGGAACCCCTTTCGAGTTGTTGAAGTGGAGCACCACCAGAGAAATGACTCGCCTTGCGTGAGCCGTGCCACGCAGGTACCCAGTTCAAGTTGGCAAGTGGATCGAGGACAAGAACAAGGAGGACACTTGGGTCGATTCGTGCTTAGCTTTACTTGCCTTGAAAGATTGCCGCATGAATCATCCAGTTTTTTTGCTGCACTCGACTTGGTATCGGATTTAGTTATTCAAGCCAGGTTTAGTCGCGCGCAGAGAGGTGCGCGACTTCACACCCGCTGGCCTTTCAAAAACCCGACATTCGCAGGAGATGTTCGGCATCTTCTCGTGGAATGCCGTCACCTGCCAGGAGGGTGGCAAAGGGGCCACAGAATTGCAAACATGGTACCCACAACCCCATTCCAACTATTTAGGCCCGTATAGTCCTAGTGTCTCGTTTGGTTTGGCAATACCATGCTGTGACCAGGTTTCCCCTATTTCCACCAGAAAGCAAAAGACAATTGTGTAACTTTGCAAAAAGTCTCTATGTTGCCATCAGACGGTGGTGTGTCAAAATGTGTTGGTTCAATATTAGAGTCCACCATAGGTATCATTTTGGGGGTTTTGGCCCTGCAGCCCTCCTGTCATATGAAGTCTGACCTGTGGTTGTCGACCGAGAATGGGCTAGCCTGATCTCACCCTACACGCGTGTATGTGCAAAAGGCGGTCCCAGGGTCAGGCAATTCGAACCTCCACGCATGTGGGGCGCCAGGACGCCACTGTGCAAACATTGCTACAATATATTAGCTCAATTACCATCCAGCCTTTTCAGCACATCGATGACAACACACACACACACACACATGCACGCACGCAAACCTTGCTTTCGGGTGTGAAGCAACATCGCCTGTGGGTGATATTTTCCGGCTTTTCGAAGCTAGTTGACAAAAAACCGTTTGTAGGCGCTTCTTGTGAATGTGAGGAGATGGCAGGATTACTTGTCCCCGCAGCAAACGAGTTGGAGACCTTAGCATGGTTTCTTGTGGAGGCATCCGATTCCAGAATGGGCAGTGCCAGCGCATGTGCTGGCAGTCAGCGTGGAGGAGTTTGCGCTTGGATCGCTGGATCTTGGCTCAAGGAAAATCCCTCGAAGTAGCAGAGGCCACGTTGGCTGCTCAGCAAGTTGGGGTGACTGGGTGGGGGGGGGGGGCACATGTGGTTTATGCCCTGATTGGCTGAGTCTCCGAGGGTAAGTAAGACAAGCCTGAGGTTGTGTGACGCCCCCCAACAAAAGCATCCACGCTGTCTGCCAACGAACATCTATTTGCCATGGAGTGTGTATGCCTGTGGTTTGAACTTGTGTACACGGCATGCGGGAGATCCAAGAAATCGGCGGGGCTCCACTTGGGAAAGACCTCTTGGGGTTTGACCATGGCACACGTTGAATTTGAAGCAAATCGCTGCCAGCTCCGCATATGCATTGCCCGAGCATGAACAATACCATATGGAAGACCATCTCGTTTGACGCGAGCCAAGGAGAGACATGGCGCCCAAGTTCGATCCCAATGAGGTGAAGGTGTGGTTTGCTGTGTTTGCTGTACAAGCAAGCGACCCCTTTGGGAAAATGAGAAACCCATGCAACACCAAGCATTTGGAGTGGCCCCCAGTTTTGAGGGACAACACATTGTTCATCACACATTTGTGTACGTGGAGAGTTACATGTACACATGCTATACAGGCCATGCATACTATACATATTACACATACTATACATACCAAACATACTTTCCGTCCTTTGCATACTATACATACTATACATACTACACACACTACACACACACACACTATACATACTATACATGCTATACATAATACACCCACTATACGTACTATACATCCTATACATACTATACATACTATACGTACTATGCATACTATACATACTATACATACTACACACGCTATGCGTACTATACGTAGTTTTCATACTATACATACTATACATGCTACGCCCACACACTTTACGTACTATACGTACTTGACATACTACACATACTATACATACCACACACACACTGTACGTAGTGGCCGTACTATACATACTACACATATTATACATGGTATACATGCTTACGCTACATACTATACATGCTATACATGCTATAAATACTACGGGTATGCGGTCTATTGTCCACCCCCGAAACAATGATCCCGACAGCCATCGCTTGTGGCCTAGTGCACCTGCTCAGCGCTGCCAATGGAAAGCACACCCGCTCAAGTGCACCCGCTCAGCTCTGGGCGTGATATGCTCTTGAACACTCCGCAGAGTGAAACAGGCAGCTTCCTGGGAGGCACGAGTTTTCTGGGCTGCGCTTTTGTCTTCATAGACATGTTACCCACGGTCAACCCGGCACCAAAAAAAGCATAGGTTTTTTTCCGACAATCAGTCTTCAAAACCAAGAAACCTATAACAGTTGCCTTGGTTTTTTGCTGTTGCAGATGTGTGACACGGAGGTGGCAAATCTCATACGCGATATCTTGCATACTTTACGCACCACACAAACTACCACTCGGCTGGTCTTTCTAAAAATGAAGTAACTAAATAAGTGTCGCCCAGTTGCCAGATGGGCTTTCAAGGACGGGTGGGCCATCCCAAGTCTAACTATGGGCATGTTTTAAGATGCACGTTGCTTTTCTGCAAGAGAAGTCTCTTCTGGGTTCGTTTGGGCGTTTGTGCGGAGATGAAGATTCAAACATCCAAAATGGATAATGGATTGCAAGGAATCCGCCACGCGAAATCCATGACTAAGTTTTGGCTCCGAGCACCGTTTCTTCCTGGCCTTTCCAAGGTTTACCTTGTCTGGGGCTGGGACAGGGCGGCGTGGGCCATGGGCCAGGTGGTCTTCCTGCGGCAGTATGGGGGCGAGCAGGCGCCCTCTTCGGTGCTGGCGCCGAAGGTTGGGCCGCTGGGCATGTCGCCCAAGAAGGCGGATGGATGTGGACCTGATGGGCAGAGGGGGAAGGGATAGATTGGGGCAGTGAGGGGTGTTGCAGGTTTCAGCCGCCATGCTTCCCCCTTGTCTCACATGTGTCAGTCATGGATTTGTTGCCTTTCCAGGTGGGCGATGACATCGTGAAGGGCACCAGTGCGTGGAAGGCAGGGAGGAAAATCCTTTCCCGACCGCTTTGATAGAAATGAAAAGACACCCAGAACATGTCGATCACCCAAAAAAGCGGGACCTTCTGTGTGAGACTTGGCCTCGGGCACCATAGGGAATATACGTGGTTTGTCGAATTCAGCGAAAAATTTCGCTCAGGCATAAGGCAAGATTGGTTGTGCCGTCCCCCGGGCTTGTTTTAGCAAGCAACTGACTGTTCACCATACAGAGCCATGTGCCGTAATGAGAAGTGCGCGGGGTTTTACAAGTTGCTAGAGTATTGGTGTTAGCCACGTTATTCTTGCTGAGTTGATGCGGACCTACTCCATCAATACTCTGCCCGCCTGACCTTTGTCAGTTTGTTTTCTGCTGCGGTGGACCTCTATGCCCCTGTTCTTTGTCATGCGTTTGCCTCCTATGTGCTGACCTTGCGCTGCATGGGACGTCTCCCTGCCGGTAGCCTTCCGAGGGCATCCGAGTCACGGTGAAGCTGACCATCCAGAACCGCGCGGCCAAGGTGGACGTCGAGCCGAACGCCACCAGCCTCATCATCAAGGCCCAGGAAAAAAAAGAGAGGAAAACAAGAAAAAAACGCGAAGCCCGAAAAGAGTAAAGCAAAATAGCGAGAAAAAAAGAAGAAAGAAGAAAGAGAGCGTCACAGGTGCAGAGTCAAGATCTCTCATTCCCGAAAGCCTGGACGTCCAAGTCCCTCACGGGCGCAGGCTCTGAAGGAGCCCCTGCGAGACCGAAAGAAGACCAAGAACATCAAGCACAGCCCTGGCCTGAGGGGCCCATCAGCCAGAGAGCACCTAAAAATCGCAGGCTGCACCCAGGTACCAGCTCAAGCATAGAAGCAGGCCCTGACAAGTATGCTGGGGGAAGAGGCCCGTGTGGATTTGGCCGAACACGATCTAGTTTGGGTCAGGGGCTGAGCAAGACAACTTGATTGATTCGGACTGGGAAGCATGTTTGATCAGTCATGAAGCAGCATCAGGCACAGCGCGCGAGGTCGCAAATTCCGTCCAACTGCGACTAAAGTGGTAAAGTTGCACTGCCATGACTTTTTGGAAGACACCAAAAGCTCCAACTCATCCTGGCCAGTTTGTGCTCGGACTAGCACACATCCATGCAATAATCAGAACAGCTCTCCATAGGATTCTATGATGTGGCAAAAGCATCAGAAGGTTGTGCCATGAGTGGCTTATGGCATCCTTTACGGCCCCGTAAAGAGAAGGCCCAAGACTGGGAGAGCTTGGAATGCTGCCAGAGTGTGGGCCGAGTACAGTTTGAGCCGGCGCCTTCTTTGAAAAGGTTCAATACTATGGCTAAGCACAACCTGCTTCAACAGTGGCAGTGTGGGCAGTACAAGGGCGACTGGGAGACCCGTGAACCAGTGCGCAGAGACCATAGGCCCATCTCTCCAGTACACTCCAGAAAGCTGACATGGCATTTGAGAAAACACCCCCAAAACTCCTGGTATTCTGCAAATTTTCGTCGTTGGAGTCATCCTCCTCATCATCCTCATCATTTTTGTCATCATCATCTTCATCTTCATCATCCTCATCATTTGTGTAATCACCATCATCATCATCGTCGTCGTCGTCATCATCGTCATCGTCATCAATTGAACACGGCATGACCCGAGGGCCCGCTCACCAGCATGGCGAGGAACTGCGAGGGCATTGCTCACCAAATTTGTGTTTCAGTCAGAATCATGAAGGCGTTTGGCAGTGGCTCAACCGCTGGTTCAGGGGCCCAAACGAGCCACTGCCTTTTTTATGACGAGCTCACCTGGGGCCAAGTCTTATTTCGGGTTTTGGAATGATTGCAGAACTACCTACAGGAAAAAATGGTCAAAGGAATGTCTCCCAGCATAGCCCCGACTGAGGCGGCAACCTTACCAAGGCGCGTGGCGCGTGCATAACCCTGAATCGGCCGGAACTCCGGATCTGGGGAATCCTTGTCCAATAGTTGCTGAGTTGGAATTGTTGCCTATCGGTTGCATTGCAAATTTGTGCGGTTTAGCTCCCCGGGGCACAAGTTGGATAGGATGAATCAGTGACTTCACGTTCCAGGGCCAGGTCGCAAGAGCCTTTGAAACGGCGTTAACGTGTTGCAACATCAGACTTCAAAAGCGACCAGAATTGATTGCCTCCGAAACGGAAAGTGGCTCACTGATTTCTTGCATATCGACAAGTCTGTGTCGTTCACGCCTTCCCGAGAGCCTCCGTTCGGTTGCAGAACACCTTCCTGGACATTTGCCGACAGATGCGCAAGAAGAGCCTTGCAAAGGCTGGGCTGAGGGTCAAGCCTGGGACAACAGAAGGTCCATGCCAAAGGTGTGTTCAAGACGTTGGGAGAGAGGAGGGATTTGCTTTCAGCTTGCTGTCAATAAGTCAGAGATACCGGCCACCTCATACCAGCCGTGCTTCTTGAGTTCCGCTGTCAGGTGTCCAAGTTGTTCCAGTCAGGGTGTTGCAGAAACTTGAAGCTTGCTGTTCGCATTGTGTTTCGAACGAGCCTGGACAACAACAAGGCCACATGCCGAAGCATCTGGATTATGTTTGAAAATTATGGCTTGTTCAAAACCGATTTGAAGATACACGACTTGTATCACGCTTGATTTAGAATACCTCCATCCATGGCCCACCGCCTCTCGCAGGAGTTCAAGGGCACGGCGAAGGACGGCGAAGCCGACGTATGCCATGGCGACCTTTCCACGCATTCGCCACAAACAGGGCGCATTCGGTCAAGATTGTGTGGTTGGTGGTTGGTTTTTACGTCACCTGGACATACTGACATACTCTCGCCCATTGTGGCTCAAGGGGCAGCCGCAATTGCAAATCCTTCGCATTTCCGTTCTGTGACGTGGGCTCAGCATGGGTGACGAGGAAGTTGCGGCTCTTGTGGTGGACAATGGCAGCGGCATGTGCAAGGCTGGCTTTGCGGGCGACGACGCACCCCGCGCCGTGTTCCCGTCCATTGTCGGCAGGCCCAAGATGCCTGGCATCATGGTGGGTATGGACCAGAAGGACAGCTATGTGGGAGACGAAGCACAGTCCAAGCGAGGTGTGCTCACCCTGAAGTACCCCATCGAGCACGGCATCGTGACCAACTGGGATGATATGGAGAAGATTTGGCATCACACGTTCTACAATGAGCTGCGCGTTGCGCCTGAGGAGCACCCGGTGCTCTTGACAGAGGCACCGCTGAATCCAAAGGCCAACCGAGAGCGTATGACCCAGATCATGTTTGAGACCTTCAACGTCCCTGCGATGTACGTCGCCATCCAGGCGGTGCTGTCCTTGTACGCCTCCGGACGTACCACAGGCATCGTGATGGACAGTGGTGATGGCGTCAGCCACACGGTTCCCATCTACGAGGGCTATGCGCTGCCTCACGCCATCCTGCGATTGGACTTGGCCGGACGTGACCTGACGGAGTACATGATGAAGATCCTCACCGAGCGCGGCTACTCCTTCACCACCACGGCGGAGCGCGAGATTGTGCGAGACGTGAAGGAGAAGCTTTGCTACATCGCCTTGGATTTCGACAGCGAGATGAAGGCCGCTTCGGAGAGCAGCGACAAGGAGACCCGGTTGCCCAGTGGTACTGTTCTTTCTTTTTTGTTCGAGCTGTTTTTGGGGGAAGGTGATGAACAAGCAGCAAATGTTGCCTCCCTGTTTTGGTGCCCCCCCCCCGCACAAAAAGGGGGACCGACAACCGGCAAGAAAAGGCGCCCCCCTTTTGGTGCCAGTGACCAGCGAGGAGAAGACCTACGAGTTGCCGGACGGCAACATCATCACCGTGGGCAGCGAGCGCTTCCGCTGCCCGGAGGTGCTCTTCCAGCCCAGCTTCGTGGGCAAGGAGGCCAGCGGCATCCACGACACGACCTTCCAATCCATCATGAGACTTGGTTGTCCTTAAAGGTGCGGCTTTTAGCCCTCGGACTCTTCGGAGAATTGCTGCTCCGGGCTGCAAACAGCGTCACTCTTTGAAAGGGGGGCGGGAAGACTGTCTAAGACCAAGGAAGTGTGATGTCGATATCAGAAAGGACCTGTACGCCAACGTGGTGCTGTCCGGCGGCACGACCATGTTTGTGGGCATCGGCGAGCGCATGACCAAGGAGCTGACTGCGCTGGCACCGTCCACAATGAAGATCAAGGTCGTGGCCCCCCCTGAGCGAAAGTACAGCGTTTGGATTGGTGGATCCATTCTGTCCTCCCTGAGCACCTTCCAGCAGATGTGGATCTCCAAGGGGGAGTACGACGAGAGCGGCCCCACCATTGTGCACCGCAAGTGCTTCTAGATGCATCTGCATGCGCTCTTAGGTGCATGTATAGATTGAACGCTTAAAGATTTGCATGTTTCCTGTGTCGCAGAGGGTACTGGCCCTCAGGTTCACAGTTCAAATCATGCTCATCGAGGGCTTTTTGCCCACCAGGACAAACTTGCTTACTCGGGGAGAAAACAAAACGAAGGCGCGAGCTGCTGGCTTTGGGGTAACGTAAGTTTCCTGGACCTTTCTGCTGGGCTGAAGGGTAAGCGAAAGGACAGCACGCATTTGGAGAGTGAGTGCTTGCGTGAATGACATGGTGGTGCTCCGTTGTTCCGCTTTGTTGCGCTGGTTCTATGTGACCAAGACCGTCACATAGAATCAGATGACATGGGCCACTTGGAAGGTTATGGCTGACCCAAAGTCCGCCCCGTGAAACATAGGGGCTGCATACAGGTCCCGGGGGGAAGGCCTGAAGTTTGCTGAGCCTAAAAAGTAGGCCTATGCAAGTCTTGCCTCTGCCTAGTGACCCTGGGTTCATGTGTACCAGCTCCCTACCGAACTGACCCACAAAAGGAGAGAGACGCGCCTAGGCAATGATCAGTTGGTTTAGAATAGATGGATTCCACGGGTTTCCAGTGCCATTCAAAAGGACACCGAGGCTCCCCCCGTTCCAGGAGATCCTGGGCACGTGCTTCGCGGTGGGCTGCACCGTGGACGGCCAGAAGCCTGGGGCGCCTTGGCCAAGCATTGCGTTCGTTTGCTCTGTTCGCCACCCTCGCCGGAGCGAGAAGTGGTTCAATGAACTTTGACCACGCGGAACTGTACAAATGGTTCGCCCGCTGCCAGAAAATGGCTTGGGATAGCCTTAAGAAGTGACACAAAATTATACGTGGATATATTCCTCTGGTGCTTGGATGGTGCTTGGTACCTTGAGTCTCAAACATGTTTGCATGCCTTGGGTTTCCCTTTGCTGAGGCGCTACAGCAGGCGGTGGACGACGACGAGCCGGGCGGCCGAGTTTCCAAAAACAATCTGGGTGGACGAGGGGCAGTCAGCCGTCCCGGCCAAGAATCACTGGGTGCGACAGGGGGAGCGGGGTAGATTTTCTTTGGCTGGTTTTAGGTAGGCCATGTTAGTGCCAGGTGTTGATTGTGCTTCACCTTGGGTGTTTTTTGTTGGCCCATGCTGGCCGAGAGCGCCGTTCGGGTCAACCGTTGCTGTTCCCTGGAAGGGTGACATAGCACACATGCTGATAAGCCGATGCCCCTACCTTTAGGATGACGATCCCTTTGTCAAATCATGAGCCCCCTGGTTGCCCTCGATCCGAATCCTTCCCTACCTGAGGTGGGAGCTGCCTACCGAGTGATCGTCGGGAGCAAAGGGTGGCAGAGCGAGGGAGGAAAATGCGCTGCAGGGATGACCAGGTGGGACTCCAAATGGGATGTGGAACCGCCAAAATGGTTGGGTTCTCCTTTGGTATCCCTTTAAAGTCTTTTTGAAGCAACCCAAAAAGGGTACCCTCAAATTTAGGACGCACCCAGGTCTCTCAGGTTCCAGAAGCTAGCTGGAGGGAATGTGGAGTGAAACTTGCGGCAGTGCGAACCAACGAGCTTCAGGATTTCCCGATCCCGTCCTTGGGTTGACGATGCCAAGCCCTGGTACTCGTGATGTGTGGAAGAGATCTTGCCCTTTTTGTTTGGCAAAAAACAACGCTATGAGAATCAAGACCATTTCAAGCCGTGTCTTATAAGGCTGACTCTTCACTGCAGGAATCCTCTGGACCGTTTCGGAGACTCGGACTGCCCACACGGAGCTGAGGGATCTTGGGCCGCTGTGGCGCCATAACGGCCATGTTCAGGACACCACTTCGCGGGAGAAGTGGATGAGGGTGAAGCCCTTGGTAGGAGGCATCCTGGGTCTCAGCCGGGGCCTCAACTAAGATCTTCTCTTTCCGAGGAAGGGCACCAATGAGCGTGAGCATGCGTTGGTCTTTCCCGTGGCGGCTTTCCTTTGGTTTCCCATCAAAGCATCCAAAGAAGTGCCGCGGTCAGAGCCGGTGCTGAAGTCAGGGGGCAGGTCGTACATGTTGCTGGGGTCTTGCTTGGACTAGAATTCGTGTGAGTGCTTACCAAATAAGGACCCCTACAAAAGGTGTGTGTTGTTTCGTTTTGCCATGTGAGTAGGAAACACTCATGAAGCCTGAAGAGAAGCGAGTGGCTTTTGAGACGGTGACATGCCTTTGAGCGATTCGCAAGGATCCCACAGCCGAACTCAGGCCCGAAGGTGCAGAAGAAGGCAGGCAACTGGCGTCTCGCCCGGGCCGGAACAAGTCGGGGCTTGCTGTTGTTCATGTTTGGGTTGTTTGCATTGAACTTGTTGCTGGTTCCTACTTGCAACTGCTTCCCGCAGCTACTGGCAATTTCTTGTTTGCTGTTTTTCTACATTGAGATTTCCGCTGGACCATACACCCTTTTGCGATCAGCAGCTCGATTTCGGGTGGCCCACGAGGGGGTTTACAGGGAATCCCTAATACTGCAAGTGTGGAAAAGTGATTTTGCCATCAATGGATTTCCATATTCTATGTGCAAAGTATGTGCTATTGCAGAACACTCCCCTGTCATGATTTCTGCTAAGGTAATTCCAGTAGGACGTGGCAACGCCAAGAGTACGGGAGCCAGCTTTGCCACGACGTGGGATGAAGCAACACACTGTGTGCTCCAGTATCAGCGGAAGAATCCGGGCCCGCCATCCGAGCTTCCCCTAGGACCAACCCTGCTTGTTGTCGAGCCGGCAGTCGGGATGCAGGTGCTGGTGCGCATGGTCTCTCGATGGTGTGACTCGGCCACGACTTTTGAGGGAGGGTTTGAGCAGGTTTGAGTGGGCACGGGTAGCAGGGAGCAGGCTCATTGGACGGTACCCATTCAGTTGTCACCAGCAACCAGGCGAGGTCGAGCGGATTTCCTATAAACCTGCAGAAGTTGGACCGTGCCAAAACCAGAGTCCTCGGTTTTCGACTCGCACGCCCAAAACTGCTCGCTTGGGCCACTTTCTGCAGTACTGCCCAGGTAACATGTTCATCAAGAGCAAGGTGGAGGAGCGTGCCTGACAAAGCCGGAAAGAGCCCAATAAGTTACGACAAGGTTGGTGGTGAACATATACAGGGGCAATCCGCATTGAAGTTTGGAATCTGTGTCCCCGTCATCATGCTCTGTCATAAGGTCGTTTGGATGGTTGGTTTGGGCGGTGGTGTTTCATCCTTGCGGTGCGTCTCAAATGGGGGTTCGTAAGAAAGCTGGAGAGAAATTGCTCATCACGCGCATCCTGGTTTTGCCCCAGCGACACAACGCGGAAAGCAAGCATCAGGACACAAGTCATTCAAGTCAATGGATCCGAGAGCGCATTTTCAGCAACTGCATGCGCCAAGCTTTCTTTCACATGCATTTCAAACTATCCACAAGCGTTTGTCAATGCGTGCTAGTTCGGGCCAGTCGGGGAGAGATTGAAACGTCCAAAGCAACTTGCAAGCCCCGTTATTCACACCCATGAAGTGAGGCCCTTGGCGTTGGAAGCTGGCCTTGGCAGTCTTTGGGATGTGAAGGGACAGGTCGCTCCACAAGCGGGGGCCCCTTCCATTGCAATGATTAAACATGTTGACGGTACTGTGTATCCAAAGTTTGTTGATCATAAAATCATGGGTTTCTTCTTGGCCCCCTCCTTCCCCCCCCTTCAGCTCGATTGCCACCAGAGGAAGTGCCATATTCACACGGCCAGGAGCAGGGTGAGCTCAAGAAGGATGATGTGTCCATGCTCACTGAATGGGTCGGAAAGCCCGTTTTTTGTCGAGCCGTCGCTGTTCTCAAAATGTTTGGGCTATGTATTGATGCAGCTGCATGCTGTTTGCCTTACAAGATGATTCCCGTGTAAATACCAACAAACAATGGTGTCCCATGGTTTCTTAGGTGGTGCAGGATTTCGTCCATCCACAGTAGCATTCCGTTTGCAGAATTCCTGGGTTTTCCTTGGCTCTACCTAAACTTCAATGTCCAAAGGACTGATTTCCTTCTGGTCTCTTTTTGAAACCCGCCAAGAATGGCGAGTAAGGACCCTGTCCTGAGACACATCCATCCATGGATGTGTTAAAGTGTCTTTGGCGCCTCAACATGTGTGAGTCTCATATTGGTTTCCTGAAAGCAACTGTGAAGCTGGAACTCCAGTTTTGAGGCATGCGCATGTGTCCAATGCGGCCCTCCCCGAGGATTTTTGGTGGCGGGGATTTCGGCTGCCTTTCAGCTGAGGGTCCAAACATAACTTGCCCAATGAGGGTCCACAGCCTGACTTTTGCTTCTGAAGAACAGCTCAACCGGTTGGTTTGATCTTCACATTCAGAAACAGGGAAGACATGCTGATCTAGCACGATTGGTTTCAGTGTGCATTCGGTGACGGGCTAATAAGAGCTCTACGCTTCAAAAACAGGCTTGATACCTTTGACCCGCATGTTGGGGTGTCCGGTGACCCGTCTGAACTCATTCGTAAGCGTATTGAGGAGCCAATGCTGGATATTGCAGACCAGACGCACCTCAGCGTCTAAAGGCAAGCCGGTGTTTTTATTTTCGATCACACGCACCCGGATTTGATCCCTCGTTTTCTTGCACACATCACCAGGCCTCGTTTTGTTGGCCTGTTATTTTGGAGGCATTTCGCCTGTAAGCCTCAGGCACCTACGTTCTTCAGCATTGAGAAGGAGGTCCTTGAGGACCTGGTGAAGGCACCGATGCACCTGGGGGTATTGCGGGTTTTCACGCTGTGCTTACGTGGAGGGGCTTGCCCAAGTGGGACTTCGAACTTATTACTCCGAACTGTCTCCCTTTCCTCCGTCATGTCCATGTTGGCTTCTAGACACATGAGTTCAATCCCCCTGCCTGACGTGGATCACTCCCCCAAATGCACGGCTGCGTAATTGGGCTTCCTGTTGAAAGCCAATTGACAAAGAGACATCCTGATTTTGAGGAACAAACACATTAACAGCACAA